GCAGATCACACAAATATTGGGAGCTAACAAGAAATGGAACAGCCTACAAACCCGCGTAGACCAGATTGTAACAGCAGGAAACTCACATCTCTCATCAAGTGAATAAGAAAAGTCCATATGCATTAGACGGTGAGATAGCGTGAACAAACTATACGTGATGTAACAAAAAAAAAACGAAGAGACGGTCCTCTAGGGCTTTAACTACCAAGATCCGAGACCGTTGTTTATTATTATGATGATGATCGAGATCTTGGGAGCCCCCCATCAGACCAATATTATATATGCCTTCTAATGACTCGGATTTTCGCCCAAGCTTCCAGCATCACGAGACAGATACGAGGCGCACACTTATGCACCCGATCCACGGTGTCCCTTTCTTGGCGAGTCGTCCCTCCAGTGAAATGCGAACTTGGAGAGGTTTTTCTATAATGGTTGTCGATCTATAGATATCATAATTTTCGTCCTAAATTCTACCACGAGAATTGTTCCCAGGAATGTGACCAGCTACAACGAGTCAGTGAAAGGCAATGAATGCATGTCCTTCAACATACTAAGTAATGGTCCAGGCTTGTGGAAAGAGGGCATTGCATTGTAGGGCATTAAAGGTTTCACTCTGAGGGCGACACAAGCACTAGAGCGAGTTAGACAATATTCGATCAAAGTGAAACGTGAAGACTTACTTGATGCTGGAACGGTGAATCCCACCAGCTGAATGGATATATCTAAAGCAAAGACGTCAGAAGGCTCGGGAGAAAAGAAGGACTCGCATACCTTGCCGTTCTCAAGAACCTCTACTCGATCAAAAACACCATCCGCATATCTCTGTAGACTGTCCTTCTCCCATTCTTTGACACACGACCTCAAAGCAACGGGGCCCGTCAGCTCTTCCGGATGCGCGTTATAAGCGCGAGATGAAATGTGCTCTTGGATAAACTCGAGAGGCTTGAGCCAGAACGGGTGTCCGGGTGTCGTGGATGCCATAAAAGCGTTGGGAATAGAGTGCTGGAAATTATCGTCACTCATGTGGCCCACGAACGCGAGTTTCATAGGAGAGTGTGACGCGTCAGCGAGCATGGGGATGTGCTTGGTGAGCGGTTGAAGAGGAACCAAGTCTAGATCAGCATAGACTCCTCCGAACGCATGCATGTACATGTTTCTTGCCTAAAGAATGGGTTCAGTAAGCGTACACAGGAATGAGCAGGGCCGGCGTTACCATGTCGGCGCGATAAATCTCGCGTGGCAAGTCATTATAAGTTTGAAGAAATTGCGGATAGAATTTTTCGACCAGATATCTGTTGTCGGCG